AATGTAAGTTTAGAGAAAAGTTGAAAAGTATGAATGCTCATACAGTGAAGAGTACGGAAACACTGGGATTACTGGGGAAAAAAATTAAAAATGAAAAGGCAGTACTTAGAGTATGTAAAAAGTAGTGTGTCGGTATGTACATGTGCGACAAAAGAAAGAAAGTAAATAACTGAAATTAAAGAAAACGAGGTAAAAGTGAGTCAAAATATGTACAAAAGAATCTAGAAGGAAATAGAAAGAACGAATGTATCAATGGGTATTAGAAAAGGAAATGTAGTGGTGGTAGTGGTGGTATTGACTGGATGATAGTGGAGGCGGTGATGGTGAAATGTGATGGGCGATTTAGATACCCAAACACACACACATCGACAAGTGCTATTGCTAGGGAGTGAAAAAGTTCTGGTGGGACTGCTTTACTGTTTGCTGGGACTGGACTGCTTCATCTGCAGCATCGCCGCCACCAGGGCCGCCTGCTGGGCGTCGACAGTGCTGGGTGACAACTGAGCAGCAGCTGCAGTAGCAGCGCCTGAAGCGGCCTGCTGTCCCTGCTGCGCCCCCAGCCAAAGTGCCCTAATCTTGTCGCACTCCTGTCTGGAATGCATCAACTCGCACTTCAGCTTAAAGTTCTCCTGCTCGAGAAAGGCCGCCCGAATGGCGATCTCGTCCTCCTTGGCGCGGCGCAGGTCTCGTGACCGCTTCGCCGCCTCATTGTTCTTCCTCCGTCGCTCCCAGTACGCCTCGTCCTTCAGGTCCTCGGGCAGGGGGCGGCCTCGCTTACGACCGGAGCCACTACCACCCGATGCAGCTGCTGGAGAGGTGCCACCGCCGCCATTTCCGCTGCTGGTTGAAATGGCCGGAGAAACTGAGCAGGTGTTTGAGGTAGTTGTAGTAGAGGTGTTGGTGGTGATCACCTGCTGAGGACTGCTCAGACTGGCGGCGAAGCTGGTGGGCGCAAATGAGGCGACCATCATCGCATGTTGATTACTCTCATTGCCGCTCTCACTGTGCCCATCGGAGGANTAGTAGAGGTGTTGGTGGTGATCACCTGCTGAGGACTGCTCAGACTGGCGGCGAAGCTGGTGGGCGCAAATGAAGCGACCATCATTGCATGTTGATTACTCTCATTGCCGCTCTCACTGTGCCCATCGGAGGAGCAGTTGGAGCTGCCCACTGAGTGGGAGTCATCAAAGTGGTGTTGCTGCTGCTGTTGCTGCTGTTTCTGATGCTGGGCCATCATCTTCCTCGACTTGGTCTGCGGGTGCTGTCCACCACTCTGCTCAGAGCTGACAGTTCGAGCAGCACCTCCATTACCTCCATTACCATTAGTGCCCTTGCTGAGCATCTTACTGCGAAACTCCTGGTAGGCGACATCGCTGCCGTTTAGGAGAATGGTGCTCGAAGAGTCACTGCCATTAGCTGCCATGGCTGATGCAGCAGCAGCGGCCGATGAAGATGATGATGATGATGAGACTGCCGCCGCCGCCGTGGCTGGAGTCTGAGCGTGGTGGTGGTGGTGCATGGTCAGACCGGCACTGGAGTCCTTACTGTTGTACAGTGCCTTAAAGGGACGGGTGTACTTCTGATTGCCACCGCCGNGTTTGAGGTAGTTGTAGTAGAGGTGTTGGTGGTGATCACCTGCTGAGGACTGCTCAGACTGGCGGCGAAGCTGGTGGGCGCAAATGAAGCGACCATCATTGCATGTTGATTACTCTCATTGCCGCTCTCACTGTGCCCATCGGAGGAGCAGTTGGAGCTGCCCACTGAGTGGGAGTCATCAAAGTGGTGTTGCTGCTGCTGTTGCTGCTGTTTCTGATGCTGGGCCATCATCTTCCTCGACTTGGTCTGCGGGTGCTGTCCACCACTCTGCTCAGAGCTGACAGTTCGAGCAGCACCTCCATTACCTCCACTACCATTAGTGCTCTTGCTGAGCATCTTACTGCGAAACTCCTGGTAGGCGACATCGCTGCCGTTTAGAAGAATGGTGCTCGAAGAGTCACTACCATTAGCTGCCATGGCTGATGCAGCAGCAGCGGCCGATGAAGATGAAGATGATGATGATGAGACTGCCGCCGCCGCCGTGGCTGGAGTCTGAGCGTGGTGGTGGTGGTGCATGGTCAGACCGGCACTGGAGTCCTTACTGTTGTACAGTGCCTTAAAGGGACGGGTGTACTTCTGATTGCCACCGCCGCCGCTGCTGGCCACCGCTGCAGGGGTCACTGTGGAGGGAGAAGCTGAGTTTGAGACACTGATCGAGGCAGCAGTGGCCGTCGGCGTCGGCGGACTGGTTCGGTGGTTGGTGGGTCGATGGCTGAAGGCAGTGGCCGCACTGGTCGAGTCGACAACCGCCATAGTCGGTGGTGGCTGAACACCCATGGCCTGCAAACTCAGCTGAAGTTGCTGCTGCTGCGCCAGTTCAGCGCTGTTCATCAGAAGACCAGCGCCACTGGCCATCACTGGCGAACCAAAAAGTGCATGAGGATGACCAGCATTGGCCGCTGCTGCTGCGGCGGCAGCCGCCGCCGCCAGTTGTTGCTGCAGTCCAAGAGGGGACATTTGCGAGAGCATCGGGTGAGGAATTTGCTGCTGCTGCTGCTGCGCAAGAAGGTGCGAAAAGTGTGCTCCAGCACTGCTCACCGGTGAGCTGAGTTTGGGTGAGACGGCGGTGGGAGGCGCCCCCGGCGAGCTGACAGCGGCAGCTGCCATCAGACTCTTCAGCAGTTCAGCGCCCAGGTTTGGGTTCTGCTGTTGCAACTGCTGTTGCTGCTGAGCTGATTGCATCAGTGCCTGAATCAGTGCCGCCTGTTGCTGCTGCTGTTGAGCCTGAGCTTGTGCCTGCTGTCCCCCGGCAATCTGAAGTGCCTTTAGCAGTGGTGAGGCGGAGGAAGCGGCAGGGGAGGAAGAGGGATTTTGTCCTTGTGCTGCGGCAAACTGACTGAGCAGTCCAAACATCTGACTTGCCATGGCTGCATTCGAATGGCTGTCCGCCGATTCTGCGGTAATGCCAATGTTCGCCGCCTGCTGTGGCGATGGAATGCTGCTGCTGCTCAGTGGCGATGGCAAGCCGAAACTGCTGTGATTAAGAGGGTGATGGGGGTGATGTGAAGTTCGCTCTGGAGGTGACGGGGAAGGGGTGCTAAAGACGTGGTCATTCTTGACGTACTTTGCCTTTTGAGCGGAGGGAAAATTGCCGTACATTCCCCCACCTGAAGCAGCGGCAGCCAGCGACTTGGACAACGCCACTGGATCAATGGCACTTCGAGACTGTTGAGTGCCATTGTACGACAGAAGGGGATGGTGGTGGTGGTGATCATCCTCCTCTGAACTGGAGGGCGGTGTCTTTGAGGCGGCACTGGACGGTTTGGAGAAGTCCAGCGGCTTGTCATTGAGAGTAGTGGCTGAAGAGGAGGATGCAGCCATGACCACTTCATCATCGTGGTGGTCCACCGATTCGGGAGAGGAGTGAGCCGGTGAATAGGCCTGCACCGCCTGCATCATCGTCTGTACGGCAGTGCCGGCAGAACTCATTTTGGAAGTTGAGAAGGAAGAGGAAATGCTGCTGTCTTGAGTGGAGGTCGAGTGGAGAGAACTGACAAAACGACCCGTGTCACTGTATGGTGGTGGTAATGGACTGTAGACGATGATCAGATTGCCGTCGATAAATTCGTCGTTACCACTATTGAACGCTGATGATGAAGTAGTAAAGTCAGTCGATTCTGTCAAAGTAAATTAAAAGACGATGATGTGTGATTATTGTAATCGAATGTAGTTGAATAGTTCAAATCAAGTAAAACAACGGTAGTTGTGGTGGTGGTGGTTATCAATAAAGCAAGAAGTTCAGTGCAGTGCAAGTTCAGTCAGACAGCGGTCATTGACGAGGAGGCATTCAAAAAGCTGTGCACTGTGCAGATCAGCAGTCAAAGTTCAACAGTAAAGTCACTGCTGGTCAGTCTTAGTTTGCTCAACGTTTGTTGCGACACCTCTGAAGTGCAGTCGCTCACTGGTCAGTTGCATTATGATTACTGGGCAATATGAACATGACTTATGGTCAGCTGGACAGCTGATGGAGAAGACAGAGAGAACGAGGAAGCTGACTGCTAGTGGTCATCGCTGGTATCCCTCCACACAGTCTTCACCTCAACCACAGCTGGTCCCCACTCTTCCCTGTTAGTTCAACTGAGCACTGTGAACCCTTCACCCTGTGAAGTGCACCAAATTTAGCAACAGAACGAATGACCAGCACTTTTCTTCGTTGACCACTACCACCACCACCACCACTGCGCAATCAGTTGAAAGCAGCAGGCGCAAGTGTGTGTGTGTGTGTAAGTGTGCGCAAGGAAGGCACACACAGAGTCTCTTTAGGCAATAGAAAGAGAGAGAGCCTGTGTGGCCCAGAGTGGACAGTGCCTGTGTGTGAAAGAAGTGAAGAAGGAGAAGAAGTACCACTAGCAAAGTACGCTGCTGTGCCTGCCATTGGCCGACTGAGCAACAAAGAGGTGGGCCGACTTTGACTTACACAGTGAGTGCGCTGAAACAGTGAACAGACGAAGTTGAAGTCAAAGTGAGAGAGAGAGAGAGTGCTGAAGATGCAAATGGGGAAAAAGGTATTTGGCGGCAAAAGCCAAAAGTCAATCAAATCAAATAGAAAAATCAAATGGATCGATATTAAAAATATCTTTCAAAATCTGTACATGCGAAATGTTGGGTTGCCTGAACTATGGGGTGACAATTTGATGGTAACACACTTCAGTGAAGTGTGAAGTGGTCGTGACTGACTTCAAAAGACTTCAACAGGAACAACATCAAAATTATGAGACAGACAAGCAGACACCTCACTCCACAACAGATGCACTGTTTCTCTCTCCCCTTCACTTCCTCTACTCCCATTTTCCCAATTTCTTTCCTAACCAGCACACACACATTCACATATGGCCAGCGTCAGGTCTTTGACCGAAAGCAGTGTGACCGCTTGAAACGATAATAAGCAGGCAGTGGTACACTCAGTCTCAGTCTCACTCTCTCGTCTAATGATTACGTGCACCAGTGTCGATTGGAATGTGCAACAACGCAGCAGCAGCCGCAACACTAGGCACCAGAATTATGCAGGCGTTTATATAACGCATGATGCCCGTTAGACAGTGTGTCGATGTTGTCGGCAGTAGACAGGCAGGCAGGTAGACAAATGGCAGGCACTGCTAGTATAATCACAGCTAGTGATGATAGTGTGGGACTTTAATAACAGCCACTCTCGGGTAGATGAGGGCAACA